TATTCTCTTGCCAGCCGGGCGCCCCAGCCGAGCGGCACACGCACCCGGCCAAGGCCAGAGCCACGTCATGGTCCAGCAGCGGTTCTCCAGCTCTCTGCATCCGCCCCGCTGGGCACCAGACCCCCCACCCCGGCCCAGGCCTCCCTGCGCCTTGCTCGGCCACCTCCCTGCCCTGAGCACACAGAGAAAGCCTCCCCCGGCAACCCCCCCACCCCCGTGACAGCACCGCTGGTCTCCGGGTCAGGCCTAGGAGCTCAAGAGGCAGCAGGAGCAAGCCCAGGGAGCGGCGGGCCCGGAGGCAGGCTATGAAACCCAGGGCGGAGGGGGGTCCCAGTCCCCCGCCAGCGAGCAGGGGAGGCTCAGCCCATGCACGGCCCGCTCAGCGTCCCGGCGTGGGGCACGCAGGTGCAGGGCGCGGCAAGCGGCAGCACCCGTCTCGCCGTGAGCCGCTCCGGCCCTGCTGAGAAGGCTCCAAACCAGCATCGGCGCTTTCTCCGGCAGCCTGCTCCCTGGCCTTTACAGTTCAGCTGAGTCACAGCCGGGCGTGGGAGGTTTCCCTGTGCCCGGCCTCCCACGGACCAGAGCTCTCTCCAGCCTTCCCAAGCTCCCCACGCTTGGGCTCACACCGCCCCAGCCCTGCGATGTGGGATTCCCCTCCCTGCATGGCCAGACCGCGGCAGCGGGTGTCCAGGGACAAAGAACCCCCCTTGAGTGGAGAGAGCGCATCCAAAGGACCCCTTCTCCACCTCTGAGCGCTGGATTTCATGGGTGCTCAGGAGCGGCCCCTCTAATGGTTTCCATCCATGTGTGGAATACATTTTGTTACATGCACCGAGGCACGTGCAGACATGCACCAAAAAAACAGGTTGCTGGCTGGGGCACCCTGCTAATCAGTTGGGTGGCATTTGTGTAGTCTCTCCTGGGTGCCTGCCCAAGTGCAGGGCTTACAGCAAGTGTGGGCAATAATTTTGGGGGGCATGTCAAGATTTTGGAAAGAGGTCAAAGACAGCGCTTTTCTAGGAGGGGGTGCAGGGTTGGGTGCAGAAGGGAGCTTGGGGTATGGGGCTGGGGTGCAGGAGAGGGAGTTTGGGTGGAGGGGGTTGTGACCTGGGGCAGGGGTTGGGGTGCAGGGTCTGGAAGGGTGCTGTGACCCGGGGAGAGGAGGTACCGAGGGTTTGGGTGGTGACCTGGGGCAGGGAGTTGGGGTGTGGGAGGAATAGGAGGGGGTGCAGGGTTGGGTGCAGAAGGGAGCTTGGGGTATGGGGCTGGGGTGCAGGAGAGGGAGTTTGGGTGGAGGGGGTTGTGACCTGGGGCAGGGGTTGGGGTGCAGGGTCTGGAAGGGTGCTGTGACCCGGGGAGAGGAGGTACCGAGGGTTTGGGTGGTGACCTGGGGCAGGGAGTTGGGGTGTGGGAGGAAGTGGGGTGCCAGCTGCAGGCTGTGGCTGGGAGGTGCTTACCTAGGCGGCTCCTGGCCAGCAGGACTCTCAG